CGACCCAGATAAAAGCTTGGACCGCCTTTCAAAATGGTATACCCCTTTTACCTTGCGGTCCAACCAAATCCGTACTGGACAAAAAAACATTTTTTATTTTTTATTTTGTTTATTATTAAAAATAACTACATAAACATGTTATTTCTCCCACAAATATGCCCTATCAACGTCTCTCCTTACTTTTCCATTTCCATTCTCGTCTCTACTCTGAGTACTCTTCTTTTTTTTTTTTTTGGTTGCCAAAACCACTCTTCTCACTTTTAAAGTATGTTATATTTGTTTTCATAATTATGTTAAGGATACTAACAATATCAATCTTCTCCTATTAATGTTAAAAAAAAATTCTTTTGGGAATTTTGAAAATACCTTATTTTTATAAAAGTTTTGAAAAGTAATATATGTATTATAATTCTTTAAAATTGTTAATAGCTAATCAAATTTATTTATGAAAAATTACAGAGTAATTATTGGATTTTATTAAATGTAGATATGTTTGGAAGACAAACAGGTTCAACTCATCCAATCGAAATTTCAACTCCTCCCAGTGAAACAACAATTCAGATCCAAGATGATTACGATGAATTTAAAAAAGCGGAAGCGATATCACTTCCGAAACATAATAGATTTTATTGGGCATGCATTAAGGAAGATATGCCAAAACAATTAGGTTTAGACCAATAATACTTTCTTTCTTTTTTATTGTGTTGTGTTTTCTTATGATTGAAATTTTAAAAAGATTAGCAATAACTATTAAAAAAACTTTTGTTTTAGATCAATTTGGATATTTAAGGTTCAAAATATATGAAATATATCTTCATTACAACAAAACAAATACTAATTTATAATTTATTAATATATTTATTTATAATATATATATAATCAGTAATGCCGTACCATTTGTTGTTTTTACCATTCAAATATTTGATTGTGTACCGCAAATAATTTTTTCACCAATCAAACTTTATTCCATACCGTTTATTTTGTACTAACCGCACTTGTCCCGCAAATCTATTTCTTTCGCACATACCGCAGTTGAACCTTACCGCACTATAAAACCGCTTTTTCCGCACAACCAAATACGCTGTTACCATTCGGACCCTTTGTATGAAACCCGCAAATACGCTGTCTCCAATCACTACCTTAGTTTGGAAATGTTGAATCTTTTCGTCAATAGTCTTTATGGGTCTCAAATAACTCACTGCATTTTGATCTCTGTAACGAATTCACTAATTTTGTTGCTTCTCTGTCTGAATGTGAGCTGTGTTTAAAAGTTGATCTTTTGGTCAATTTGTCTAAATGGGTCTCAAAAACCGTCTCAAAAACCTCAGTGCATTTTTTATCTTTAACAAACATGGTTTTGTTGAATCTCTCGGTTCTCTGTCTGAATGTGAGGATCTATGCTTTATATTTCACCTTTGTTCTTTTTCAATGTCTTGTTGGGTTTGTCATTTGTGTGTGATGGAATAAAGTTCTTATTATTATTGTCTCTTCATCTTATTTTGCATAACCAAAGAGAGCACTTCCTCATGACTTTGTGAGATGCTTCTCCAACAAAGAGCTCTCCCGTAAGATGAAGATATCAACCAGATTGCTCAAAACGACAACACTCTGCAAAAAGGCCTCAAGACACAAAGGCCCAAACCAAAGCAAGATGAGAAGAAGCCCACCTCCGTACAACGGCTACCTGCGACAAAAGCCAAAAACAGAGCATTAGCAGAACAGACAAATGGTACGGAGGTGACAACGCAAAACCGTTTTGACGCTTAGGATCGTGTGACGACAGCTATGAAACGTGATGGTCAATAGCCAGCTATGACAGTCAAGGGTACACTAGGTTTAGATGTAAATCTCTATAAAACCAATGTACCTCTGTAATCGAAAACCAAGTTGAAAGGAAATCAAAATACAAAAGAATCTTTCCATTTCTCTTCATATCTTTTCATGGTATCAGAGCCATGGAGAAATCCATGAATGTTTACTCATGTCCGTCTCTAAATATATCAAACTGCATTACTGTGACTCTTACGGATCGAAACTACCTTCTTTGGAAATCTCAGTTCGAGTCGTTTCTATCCGGCCAAGGTCTTCTCGGTTTTGTCACCGACGCTACTCCTGCACCAGTCAGCACTCTTCATGTTCCTCACATCGAAGGTCACACCAACACAGTCGCGAATCCAGATTACGAATCATGGCATCGGTCTGATCAAGTGGTGAGGGCTTGGCTTCTTGGATCTCTGTCTGAGGACATTCTCAGTGAGGTGGTTGGAGCTTTGACGTCAAAAGAGGTATGGCAGAGCTTAGCCGGTTACTATAACCGTATTTTTTCATCTCGTGTTTTTGAGTTACAACGCAAGCTCCATGGTCTGTCAAAAGAAGGAAAAACTATGGATGAGTATTAGCGTGCTCTTAAAATGATTTGTGACCAACTGGCGTCTGTAGGAAGTCTTGTAACAGAAAAGATGAAATTTTTTGTTATGGTTCATGGTTTAACTCGTGAATATGAGCCATTCATCTCTTCGATTGAAAGTTCTCTGGATACTGCTCCCGGTCCTTCCTATGAAACCATTCTTTACCGTTTAAAAGGCTATGACGACAGGCTTCAGAGCTACACTACAGCTGATATCTCTCCTCATCTTGCTTTCAACACCTACAGAGGCTCTCACAGAGATCAAGGAAGAAACAACAGAGGTAGAGGCCGTGGTAACTACTCAACAAGAGGACGCGGTTTCATTCAACAGTTCTCCTCCTCAGGTTCCTCCTCAGGCTCTTCCTCTCCATCTATAACACTGGGAGAGAAACCAGTCTGTCAAATATGTGGAAAAAGAGGCCATCCTGCTTTACAATGCTGGTATCGTTTCGATGAGAGTTACCAACACTCTGACGCTGCTGCAGCTGCTTTCTCTGCTCTCCACATCACTGACATTACAGATGATAGTAGCTGGACTCCTGACTCTGCTGCAACCGCACACATCACGAACAATAGTCAGCATCTCCACCAGTCTCAGCCTTACTATGGAAATGATACAGTTATGGCAAGTGATGGAAATTTCTTGCCCATAACTCACATTGGATCTGCAAACCTTCCCTCATCATCAGGTAATCTTCCTTTAAAGGATGTTCTGGTTTGCCCAGATATTGCTAAGTCCTTGTTATCAGTGTCAAAATTAACAAAAGATTATCCATGCTCCTTTACTTTTGATGCTGATGGTGTTCTTGTAAAGGACAAAGTAACACACAATGAGGTTGGGACATCCGAATCCTCAAGTTCTTCAGCTCCTAGTTAATAATAAGGCGATCCAAATCAATAAAAGTACCAGCAGACTGTGTGAAGCATGTAGGCTTGGGAAGAGTTCGAGGTTGCCATTTGTTCCTTCTGTTTTTACTGCTTCAAGACCCTTAGAGAGACTACACTGTGATCTCTGGGGTCCTGCTCCTTTGTCTTCAGTACAAGGTTTTCAGTACTATGTAATCATCATTGATAATCTATCAAGATTCTGTTGGTTCTATCCATTAAAGAGAAAATCTAATTTTTGTTCTACATTCATCAAGTTCCAGCGCCTTGTTGAAAATCTTTTACAAACCAAAATCGGAATATTTCAGAGTGATGGTGGTGGATAGTTCATAAACAAGAGATTTCTACAACACCTGCAAGACTCTGGTATACAGCATTTCATATCTTGCCCTCATACACCTCAACAAAACGGCATGGCAGAGAGAAAGCATCGACAACTTATGGAAATGGGGCTTACATTGATGTTTCAAAGCAGAACACCACTACAATTTTGGGTTGAAGCTCTTATTACAGCTAATTTTCTATGCAATCTTCTACCAACAAGTGCTCTTAAAGAAGAAGCTAGCCCTTATGAAGCTGTTTTTGGGAAAGCACCAGACTACTCAGCTCTCAGAACTTTTGGCTCCACTTGTTATCCTACTCTTCGTGCCTATGGTCACAACAAGTTTGATCCTCGCTCCTTAAAGTGTGTCTTTCTTGGCTATACAAAGAAATACAAAGGATACAGGTGCTAATACCCTCCTACAGGTCGATCAGTATATCTGAATCGCCATGTACTTTTTGATGAAGGCTCCTTCCCATTCAAGGATACTTATATAAACACGCAGTATCCCTCTCAGACTCCACTCTTTCAAGCTTGGCTAAAAGGTTTTTCACCACCAGTACCTACTATGCAAAAGAAGCAACAGGATGTTCCCATCTTCTCAACTCCAATACCTACAAAACGGCCTGCAACAACATCAGATAATCATTCTCCTATTAAATCAAAAGAGTGGGAGAACGATATCAGTCTGATGGAAATCACAACAGGTGAACCAATTTGTGTTACTCCAATTCAGACTATTCTACCTTCAGATACTACTTCTGACGTAGCGGAAAGCTTCTAGGGATAGATTACGAAAGTAATCTTGAGTATCAATGGATCTCAAGCAAGACAATCGTAGCTCGGAATTCTAATGTTATCGGATATCAATGGATTCACGATAAACAAAGACTTCAAAGACTTCGTTTGAGAATACTCTTCTCAGTGCTTATCAAAAGCTCTTTAATTTTATTAATCAAAAACAACCGAATACAATAGGAGGCCTAAGAAGGCTATTTATAATAAAACTTGAAAACCCTAAAACATAGAATATTTTAGAACAATAATTATTAATTAATTAAAATACGATAATAATAGATATTTGGAACATTTCCAAATATCTCGCTGCATCAGGTCTTGTCGGCCAAGAAAAGATTCGTCCTCGAATCTTGTTTCTGCGTTGCATCAGCTCCCGCCGGCCAAGAAAGATTCGTCCTCGAATTTTCAGTAGGGTTTTCAGCATAGGAGATCTTCGAAGATCCATCTTTATATCCAACTTTTGATTCTGCCCGAAATTTGCACGATCCGGATCTGACACGAAATTTGCACGAATTTTTGCTTTTCCAATTATTGCACCAGTCGGATATTGCACGAAATTTGCACATATCAGACTTTCCATATCTTCTGCAAAAAACACGAATTTTGCACAAGTCTGATTTTTCATGATATCAGCAGGAAACCCTAATTTTGCACAGATTTGATTTTGCCCGGATTTTTCACTAGTCAGATTCTCGAAAGCATCTTCTGGGAAAACAAAATCAATAACTATGTCATCATCTTCGTAAATATCATAGATGGGATCACCATAGATCTCTCTGTAGATCTCAGTGTTTTCTTTTCTCTCAACAAACAGACTTTCGCCTATGATAGGATAGATGCTACCATACCTCATGACAAACAGAATCGAGCTTTGATTAAGAAATCAAAGGACTAGCTCTGATACCAACTGACGTAGCGGAAAGCTTCTAGGGATAGATTACGAAAGTAATCTTGAGTATCAATGGATCTCAAGCAAGACAATCGTAGCTCGGAATTCTAATGTTATCGGATATCAATGGATTCACGATAAACAAATACTTCAAAGACTTCGTTTGAGAATACTCTTCTCAGTGCTTATCAAAAGCTCTTTAATTTTATTAATCAAAAACAACCGAATACAATAGGAGGCCTAAGAAGGCTATTTATAATAAAACTTGAAAACCCTAAAACATAGAATATTCTAGAACAATAATTATTAATTAATTAAAATATGATAATAATAGATATTTGGAACATTTCCAAATATCTCGCTGCATCAACTTCAACATCAACATCAGAGTCTTT